GATGTCATGTTGGGTAAGATGGAGGGTCAGAGAAAAAGAGGAAGACCCAGGTGGCATCATTGATGGTGTCAAATGTGGCAGTGGTAGTGAGGTTGGCCCAACATGGGACATTGTTTCGTTGTGCTGTGCATGGGGTCACTATGAGTCGGTTCCAACTCGATGGCACCTGACAACAACAACAACAACAATTTTCAATAGTGTAGTGGTTACAAGTCAGTCTGCTAACCTCAAGGTCAGCAGTTCAAAACCACCAGCTCTTCTGCGGGAGAAAGATAAGATTTTCTGCTCCTGTACAGATTTATAACCTCAGATACCCTGTACAGGATTGCTATGAGTTAGAACCGATGCCACAGCACACCACCACTACCACATTTTCAGTATATAATCAAGGACACATCCAGGCAAGGTCCCTAGTTCTCTGTGCAAAGCTGAGGGCAAAATTGTCTTACCCTGGCTTGCCCAGGACTGTAGTCTAATTTTAAACACACTTTTCTGAAGGTGAAACTGCCACATTGCTGGTTATTTGTCAGAAAGCACTCAGATGGAGGCTGAACTGATGTCATGACTCAAAACAGAGTCAGAGCTCCCACAAATGACTGACAACAGCCTTCTGCATATCAGGCGCTGCAGAAATTAAACTGTAATACCTGCTACAACAGAAATACCACAAATGGATGGCTTTCATAAATATAAATCAATTTTCTCATAGTTTAGGAAGCTAGAAGTTTGAAGTCAGATACCAGCTCTCGGGGAAGGCTTTTGCTCTCTGTCAGATCTAGAGGAAGGTCTTTGTTCAACTTCTGCTTCTTGGTTGCTTGCAGTTCTCCATGAGTCTTGGCATCTTCACTTCCTAACTTGCTTATCTAACCTCTTTTATATCTCAAAAGGAGTCCTGGTATGATTAGTGCTGGCCTCAAGTTCAGTTTAAATCCAAAGGTCCGTGGTTCAAACTTACCAGCCACTCCTTGGAAACCTTATACAGGATTCCTATGAGTCAGAACTGATTCCACGGCACTTAACAACAACAATATCTCAAAGAGATTAAGTTAAGACATACCATTCACCAATTCAGCCTCATGAACATAACCAGGACTGCCCATTCCTGAATGGGCTTATAACCATTGGCATAGAAGTTAGGATTTACAACAGATATTATTGGGGGACACAATTCAGCCAACAACAAGGTCTTTTTAACAGAATATATTGTATATTATATTTTCACATTGAAAAGCAATTGTAAGATCAATGGTTTCCAGGGGCTCAGTGGGAGAGGTTCAGAGGTATGAATAGGAAAAGCGCTGAGCATTTTAAAGCAAGAAAAATATTCTGTATGCTACTGTAATGGTGAATACATGACATTATGCATTTATCCAAGCCCAAAGAACTATACAATGCAAAGACTAAACCCTAATGTAAGTTATGGACTTCCATCAATAATAATGTATCAGTATTGGTTCATCAGTTTTAACTAATGTAATTGGCATCCAAGATCATAATCATAAGGGAAATGGGGTATAGGTAAGAAGGAGGTATATAGACAAAGTATTTTCTGCAAACCTTTTATGTAAATATAAAAATGCTCTAAAAAATTAAAATCTATTTTAAAAACAAGCAAAACTACAGAAGCTAATACATACACCAATACATTGATTTGTTGTTTTTGTTAGGAGCCTCTAGTCAGTTCCAACTCATAGCGATCCTGTATAGGGTTTCCGAGGAATGGCTGCAGGGTTTGAACTGCTGACCTTCTGGTTATCAGTCCAGACCTTATCCTACAGCATCACACCAGGACCCCACTTTATCTACTTCTGTTGCTAAGTGCCAATGAGGCAATTCTGACTCATAGTGACCCTGTATTGGGTTTCCAAGGAACTGAACACCAAGGAATGCTGGGCCTTCAGGTAGATGCTCAAAGGAGACGAGGACCTTTCTCCAGAGTCAATGGTCTGAATTCAGATTTCTAACCTCCTATACAGGTGTGGTACTGCAGGAGAAGTGCTGGACTACTAACCATAAGGCCAGTGGTTCAAACCCACCAGCTGCTCCTTGGATACGCTATACAAGGTCGAAATGAGTTACAACTGACTCAATGACCCTAACAACAATAATAAAACATCCATGTTTAACTTCATGATAAATAGAGGAAAAGATTGCAGTTGTCAAAGACTTCATTTTGCTTGGATCAACAATCAATACTCATGGAAGTAGCAGTCAAAAATCAAACTATGTATTATTACAACAGGCAAATCTGCCGCACAAGATCTCTTTGAAGTGTTCAAGAGCCAAAACATCAGTTTGAGGCCTAAGGTGCACCAGGATCAAGCCATGGTTTTTTCAGTCTTCTTATATGCATGTGAAAGTTGGACAATGAATAAAGAAGATCATAGAAGAATCCACAGTGTTAGTGAAGAATATTGAAAGTACCAAAGACTGCCAGAAGAACAAATAATATACTTTTTCTTGGAAGAAGTATAGCCAGAATTTTCCTTAGAAATGAGGATGTCAAGACTTCTCTTATTATTTTGACATGCTGTCAGGAGGGACCAGTCTGTGGAGAAGGATTTTAATGCTTGGTAAAGTGGAAGGTCAGTGAAAAAGAGGAAGACTCTTAAGGAAATGGATAGACAGTGTGGCAACAACAACAGGCTCAAACACTCTGAGTATGTTATAGGACTAGGAAGTGTTTCATTCTGTTGTACATAGGTTCTCTATAAGTTGGAACCTATTGACAGCACCTAACAACAACAAACAGTCATGGAAGTCATCTGGCCTTCCTTCTGGAAAGAACTCATGGAAAGAAAGAGGCCCTGAGACACAAGAAAGGAAGGCCTGGTCATCTCAGGGACACAGCGGAGCACTGCTCTCCAGTCATTTCTGATAAGTCAGTCATCTGAAGAAGTCATCTTGGATATTCCAGTCCAGTCAAGTCCCAGATAACTAACGACAGTCCCAGCCAACATTATATGGAGCAGAAGAGCCACCCAAACGAACTCCATCAACCATAATCCTCAAAACAGAAGATGTTGGTCCTGTTAAATGCTTTCATGTCAGTTTTGACTCATAGCAACCCTGAATAGGAGCGATTGGTGGATTTGAACTACCAACCTTGTAGTTAGCAGTCTAGTGCTTAAGCCCACTTAAAATTTTTTGTAGTATAAATACTGGACTGTTAACCACAAGGTTGGAAGTTCAAGTCCACCAGCTATTTAGGGGGTCTGCTCCCACAAAAATTTGCCGCCTGGGAAAAACTGTAAGTCAGAACTGACTCAATGATACTCAACAACAACAATAACAAAATGTTTCTTATTTATTCAATTATTTTATACATAAGTTTTCTCACATATGTGTGATCATGTGTTGCTTTTTTTCCCACTTAGCAGCATAATATGAACCTTTCCCCATGTCTTTAAAGTTTAAAAACATGTATAATCTATAGGCTGTGAAGTATTCTATCACACAGATGCTAAATTTAATTAAGTTGAGGATTGGGATTTTTTGTGGCTTTTAAAAATATTAATCGATTTTATGTTCCAAGAAAATTGTTGTTTTAATTTGCGTTTCTTTGGTTGTTAGTGAGCAGTCCCATTTATTGATTTATATCTATTTCAAAAAATATATATACATGGACTATAGAGTATTACGGAGTCCTGGTGTGGTGTTGTGGGTTAATGCGCCAGACTGCAAAGCCGTCTGAACTGTAAGGTCAGCTGCTCCTCGGAAACCCTATACAGAGTCCCTATGGGTCAGAATCGACTCAATGGCACTTAACAACAACATAAGGTATTACAGCTGTGTCCGAATATAGAATTTTTTTTTTTTCAATTTGCTGTTTAAACTTTAATTTTGTTTGTGATGGTTTGGGGCATATAGATATTACATTTTAAGTACATATAATCAAGTCTATCAATCTTTTTGTCTTTATAAGGAAATAAAACCCTTTTAAAATCACAAGTAAAATAAATGTGATCAGTCCTCAACACAAAACAAATTTCCTATTTTGAGGGGATTTCTCTCCCACAAACATTGACAACTACCCTTATCTCCCTAAAGCAACAAAAGTTGGCACATTCATGAACAGTGGGAGTTCCAAAGTCAAACAATGGATAAATACTTTCACTCAAGCTGTGAGATTGAACGTTTCACTGAGGAAACATGACATTACAAAGAAAGACTTGGATCAACCAGATTTAAGGCAGAAAATCTCTCACCAAACACTTAAGCACCATGCTGAGCATCTGAGTACACATTTGTCTACTCAGCTGGCTCAGGCATATGAAGTCATACATGAACCACAGACAAGTCAGTAGGCTAAGCATTTGTCACCTACAGACAGTAGTTCTCAACCAGAAGTGCTTTTATCCCCCAGGAGACATTTGATCATGTCTGGAAATATTCTGGGTTTTCATAAATGAAAGGGTAAGGTTTAAAGTTGCTGTGGATTTTCAGCCAGGGATACCACTAGGCATCTTGCACAGGACAGTCCCCTCACCAGAAGACTCATTCACTCCAATATGTTTATTGTGCCAAAATAATAGGAATAAAACCTCTTACCTCTCCAGTGTAATAATATTTGCCTCTCAGAATCTTCTGATAAAGCCTTGTGTGGTTTTCATCATCAAAAGGCAGGAATCCGCTGAGTAAAACATATGTGATAACACCAAGAGCCCACATGTCCACTGCACTGGTGTAAGGTTTCCTTAACAAAACTTCAGGGGCTATGTACTCTGGGGTCCCACAGAGCGTCCTCATTCTCCAGTCACCACTTTTGTTCCCAGAGTTTGCCAACCCAAAGTCTGTGATTAAAATTTTAGATTCTGCACCTGGATGATAGTATAAGAGATTTTCAGGTTTTAGGTCCCTATGAGTTATTCGCAATGTATGCAAATACCTAATCCCATCAGCAACCATCTGGAGAATTCTGACAGCATCCTGCTCTGTAAAGGATCTCTGAGCAATGAGTCGATCGAACAGCTCCCCACCTGTTGCCAACTCCAGCACCATGTAAATGCAATCCTGAGCTTCGAAGACCTCGATGAGCTGGACAATGTAGCAATGGCTAACACGTCTCAGGACGCTCAGCTCCGATTCACAAGCTTCTCTGCCTTCCCTCATTCTGGTTTCCATCACTTTTATTGCAAAAGGCTTCTTGGTGGCTTTCTGCTCCACTCTGACAACCTTGCTGAAACTGCCTTTTCCAATGAGCGCCTTGATGTCATATCTGTTGGGAAGAAAAATCTAATTTATATCCCTCTGATATGATGATTTTCAAAGTTATCTGTGTCCATGCTTTATATTGGAGTCCTGGTAAGGCACTGTAGGATATGCACTGGACTACTAACCATAAGGTCGGCAGTTCAAGCCCACCAGTCACTCTTCAGAAATCCTATAAAGGTTCACTATGAGTTAGAACCAACTCTACAGTACTTAGCAACAACAACAAATGCTTTGTATTATCTTTTCTATTTTCACTTCCAATCTTGGTTCCCTCACTTCTTCTTCTTTTTTTTTTTTTAATAAGTTTTTATTGTGAGGTTTACCTGGAAGAATATCAGTTTTACATTCATCCTATCATATTTTGTTTCATTGCAATGATTACAATCCCCTCATGCATTATCCAAAGGATACAACACACAGGCCATCAGCACACAGCCCTTCTCCCTCCCTGAGTTCAGTGTCCCCAACTGCTCCATCTGTCCACGTCATCCTCTCTGTCTCCATCCCTAGCGTGCATCTCTGCCTCTCTGGGTAAAGTTCTGCTCTCAGCTCTTCTCACTTGATGGTCCCAGGGCCTTCTACTCCTGGACTACAAAATAAATCACTCCCCTCCTTTTGTCAAAAAACATCTACCTCTATATTTCCTACCCTCACAGTCAGTCTTGATGGCAGTTGTTCACTATTGTACCACAAGAATCTTATCCCCATTTCCTTTCATCAGCATAGTCCCAACAGATTGGAAATCATTCAGTGGAGATTCTACCTTTCCCCAGGTCCCCATCTGGAACTATGCTCCCCCTTGAAAGCTTGTAAACCAGTCACTTCTTGCCTTTACAGGCCCCCCTATTTTGGGTAGCCAATGTCTGAGTTGCCCATCCCTGTCAACCCTATGTACTGAGGGGGTAGAAGTGATCCTCACTGTAAAGATTTGTTCCCTTTTTTGAGCTATTACATCCATAAGTATAGGTAAAGTTCATCAAATTATAGTGGGTTACTCTTTTTTTTCCCCTTTTTTCCCTCTTTTCTTCTTCTAGTCGAGGTCTGCTCATCCAGCCATTGAAGGCAGATCAAGTGGGTACTATCTGCAAGTATGGGTATTCTTGTGCATTGCCACTCACTTCATATCAGCTGGACACTTCACTCACCACTTTAGTCCTCTGTGGTCATGTCACTGCCTCTGGGCCCAGGAGTCCCCGGGTCTTGCCATACTGCTAGCCATCCATGGCTACACCTGGGTTCACAGAGGTATATTGCATGTGGTCAGACTTAGCTCACAACTTCATTGTTGTTTTTTACCCCTCTTTCCCTTATCGGTGATCAACGTGGTCATCAGCCAGACCACCTGCCTGCTCATGTATTCCCCTTGAGTCTCAGTCTTGGAAGCAAATTTGCTCAGAGGGGTCCCGACCACTTGCCTTAATGGCTCCAGGATGAACAGCTTACTTGTTCTTGTAGTAATCAATCAGACTGCTGTTATTGTTTTGGATTTTCCCTGCCAATCTTTCTTTTACGAAGTATCTTCTGGTCTTCTGGCTACTCCAGGCTGGTCTACTCATCCTTTCCAGTGGAAATTTCCTACCTTAGGTGATTCTGGATGGGATTCTGGATTCCACCTATGGTCTTATGCAATGTAAAGGCTCCACAGGAAGCTTTTTTCACTGGGCAACTTCTAGTCCCCTTTCAGGTATTCTAA